TGAGCTCTGAGCAACAGCGGTTCGAGTCCAGCCCGAGCTGAGCAGCCGCTGAGCTGCCAACAGGTAGTAGGATGGCTCAGCTAAAAAAAACAAAACAAAACAAAAACCCCAAAAAAGTTTTAAAAGCAGAATACTTACATGGCTCACAATTTAAAAAGGTACAAAAAGGTATATGATGAAAGAAACTTGGTACGTAGACTGTTTAAAGTTTTCCCTCTGGAATATAGTAGCTATTCTAGAGATAAACTCATTTTAAAGGAAGTTCCTTGGTGATAATGATTCACAGTGATCGCAGGAATTAAGTTTTGGATTAAGTCAGAATGAGGCCTTCTAAATATTAAAGCTGTTTGCATTAGTTTGTTTCATTCTAGTAAAAAAACCCTACATTTTTATTTACGGTCTAGCATACAGTTTTTGCTTAACAAAATGTGGACTAAGCCAAATTCGATGATTTTGATTAAGTAGAAAAGTTCAGGTCTATTTAGTACCAGTTACTGCTAGCTGAGTCATCATGGGTGTGTTATTTAACGTCCCTTGCCTCAGTTTCCTCATCAGCAATAATTTCATAAATTTATTGTAAGAATCAAATGACGGAAGAGCTCAACAAATGTTAGCACTTAGCATTTACCAAGGAGAGTGAAGGAAGCCCTCTGGAAGATAATGAACTTTAACATATAGCCCATTCATTAGCATCTTTGTTCTCTTCTTTGTTGCCCATTCATTCATTCATTCATTCATTCATTCAGCAAACATCTGTGGAAGGCCTGATCTGTGCCTGATGCTGTCCTAGGCCCTGGGGATATAGTGAAAAGCAAACACAGTTTCTGCCCACGAGTTTATAATCTGGTGAGGGACATGGATCTCAATCTGACAGTCACACATGTAAAATCGCAGTTCTGCTCAGCCCTTGAAGGACAGGTATAGTCTGTTAGTGTATGACAGGAAGAGTTGACCTCCTCTCTGTGGGTCAGATGATTGCTTCCCCGAGGAAGTGACTGAGTTGAGAGCTGAAGGACAAGTTAAACTGTCCGAGGGAAGGGCGGGAATAGCGCGTGCAAAGGCCCAAGGGAGCAGAGGCCAGTGTGTCTGTTGTGGGTGGAGCCGGGACTGTGGAGCCTCACAGGTCTGAGATGTAGTCTGAGGAGATGCAAGGCCTTGCGGGCCGTGCTGAGAAGGTTGTCCTGTGTTCGAGTTTCCCGGGGCGGGAGGGTGGATGGGAGCTGCGATGATCAGATCATCATTTTGAAATGATAGTCTCTTGGCAGTGTGGAAACGAACTGGAAGAGACCCAGCGTGGCTGTGGGTGAGCTGCTTAGGCTGTGGCAGTGGTCCTGGCAGGAGATGTTGGAAGCTTGGCCCATGGTAATGGCAGTGGATGTGGAGAGAAGTGGATGGACTGATTCCATGGATATTTAGGAATGAATGTTGGCAGGACTTGATGTGCTAGCTCTGGCAAGTGAGGGAGAAGGAACTGCAAGGGTGGCCTCTTGGATTCTGGTTGCATGTTTTGGTGGAAGCTTGTCCCATTCACTCCGGGAACACTGGAAGAGGCTCTGTGTGGCAGAGGAAGGGGATTACGAATCTACGAAGGATTTGTTAAATCCAGGAGGAGGCAGGAAGGCAATTGGATGTGGACCTCCGAGGGGTCTGGGCTAGAGATCTAAACGCACGAGCGTCTTGATGCCTGGAGCAGAGGGAGGGAAAGCAGGCCCAGATCTCCCGAGACTTTCTAGTCAGCTTCCACCTGGCTAGCTAGTTTCGTGCCGGCTGGCCTTCGTATCCTGGGGCAAGAAGGAGCTCTTGAGATAGGACTTTGGATGAGGACGTAGTCCTGCTCCCAGCAGAGTCCTCGCTGTGTGCCGGCTGTGTGGTAGGTAGCACCTGGGCAAGAGAAAATCTTTGGGGACCTTCTGTGGAGTGGATTCTCTCCTTTCCTGCCTTCTATCCTTCTTCCTTAGGAGACCTGGCACTTGCCAGCTGAACTAGCTGGAAGGAGTATGGAGGCTGGTCCTGAGACCCACATATTAACTGCACTTGTCTGGATAGTATCTGTAGATAATTGGAAATTGGCTTGAACATCAGTAACAGTAAACTAATCATACCTCTCTCAAACTGCTTGCTTTATTCTTTTGGAGATTTGTACATTTCCTCTGCGTCCGTCTGTCTCTGTCTCTGCCTCTCCCTTTCTCTAAATTTTGGTTATATCAGCCAGGGTTGAAGGCAGATGTGAGGGTGAGGGAGAAATCCAGAGAAGAAAACAGACCAGAGCTAGGCGAGCGGGCCACAATGCTGTCTGCTGCCGGTTGGTCTGTGTATCTGTCAGCCTGTCACTGGCGTATTTAAAAAAAAGGTGTAAGCCTGGCTTGCTTTTGTACTGTGAATTGGTATCCTTAGTAACTGGTGTAGTTAGTTCTCATTTCCTGGCTCCAAATAGATGTCCAGAGAAAATCCTGAATGTGGGCAGCTGGGGCCCCCTGGTGGCCAGATCTGGTTCTCCACTTCTGCTCCGCTTTTCCTGGTCACCATGCTGGGGAGGTGGCAAGAAGGAAGTTTTGCTCTCACTGAAAGCCTTCTCTCTGGACTTCGCTATTTCCGTGGATTTTGTGATGGCCTCAGCCCCTGCTGCTCAGCCGCTGGTCTTGGGCCTGTCTCAGTCAAACCCAGCCTTCCCGAGGCGCTGTGCCAGTGAGGTGCTGTGACAGTGAACCCAGACTTTGGTTCACTGCCAACTTCGGACCCTTCGGGCTACTCCTCACAGGTACCCACCTGGCACACTCGGTAGTATGAAAAAGCAGCGAGACGTCTGAGACAGTGGAACATCTGCTTGAGTGGAACATCTTTGGCTTTTGGACGTCCATTGGGTGGCACTGTGATCTTATTTTTGTTTCTGTTTTTCTTCGCAGCCAAACTCTACTCCAGGAAGTGAAAATGTGGTACCTCGAGAGGCACTGGTAAGAACTCAAGTTGTATATGTATCATTTTATAATAATCAAAATGAAAGAAACCATATGATCTTGTAGTTTGACATCAGTAGTGTTCCCTTAAAAGTAGGGGTTGTGTGGAGACCAACCCCGTCAGTGACCTCTGACCTTCTGGCATCAGGGAGTAGTGAGACCTCCTTAGTAAAGTCTGGTCTTTTCTGGAACCAAAAGCTTCCGTCCTGGTTGGTGATGTACCATTTGGTTTCCTGCTGATCAGTAGTAATTAGTGGGGTGCCTGAAAGCTTTGGGGGCCGAGTTGGAGTGAGTTTGCTGGGCCTACCCAAGTTGTGCCTTGATTGTCTGGAATGGCCGTTCTCTGCTCCGCAGGGGAGAGCACCACGGGGGCCTTTGACAAGCAGATAAAGGAGGAAGCTCCGTTTTTGCCTGGTCAGTAAGTTAGGGCTGTGATATTCACTACCAACATTATCCGCTTCTACTGTCGGACAGGGAAGAGGCCTACTAAGTACTGGAGGTCATGTTTTTTACAGCGTCCTTTTGCTCTGGTCTGAACCAGAGTACCTGTCCGCCTGCCCCATTCTCACCCCATTTTGCATTTCAGGGCCCGCTGTCAGTCCTGTCGGGCGGGTAGTGAGACCTGCTCTGTACAAACCACATGAGTTTTATGGACGGGCCAGCTTCAGGTCGAACTTTTCAGAGCTTTTTCTTTCTTTGAATAGTGACAGCAAGCTTAGGGATGTACCGCCCAGCTTTTGTTTCTGCGGGGTCTGTCGTTTCGCCTGTTTTTCTTCCCTCTCCTTCTGGCAGTGGCAGGAGGAGGTGACGTGAGGGTCTCAGCTGGGATGAACGAGCCTGAATGGTAGCCTGTACTAAGGCTTTCCAAGGCGGATGGTGAGCTGTAGAGGGACCAGGGCGACACAGGCCCCACCAGGGCTGTGTCAGGGGAGTATGCTGTTATCGTGTAACACCCCACAGTGGCTTCATTTCCCTCTTGGTAGTGCCTGGGTTCTTCCTTGAAGTCACAGTGGTGTGAAAGCGGTGTGAAGCCATTCGCTTAGCTGGGGAGTTCCAGCATTTCCCTCGGGGCCTGCGCAGTGCCCCTCGGGCTACCATTGTGGCTGGTTTTGGACTAAAGTCCCAGTTGAACACAGTAGTCCTTCAACCCTTTACTTCCTCAGCCTCTTTTTAAATTTCAATCTGCTGATTTAATTACTGATCACCGGAAGAGTGGCCGGTCCATGTTGGGGGGGCATGATGGGCCAGACTCTTGGAGGTCCTTCCTAGCGGCGAGCCCTACGCCCTGGCAGCCTCGCTGATTCCTGGGTATGCGGAACCCTGCGGCTCCTCTGCTCCGCTCTGCTTCTGTGCACTGCTTGCTTCCTGCTGTACTGTGCATCTGCATTGCATGTTGGCCGTGTTTTTATTTCTTTCTTTTCTGGGAGGCCCCGAGCAGTCTTCAAACCCTAGTAGCCTGCGATTGTCCAGAGTTCAGACTCATTCTCTCCAGGCCAACTCTACAATTACCTTATATTTAATTAATATTTTTTCCCCTCTTTACGTACTTGCTGCATAATTGCTCAGAGGAAAGAAAACACATAGCAGCAATTTATATATATATAAAAAAAACAATAATTAAAAAAAAAACCCGAAATAAACTCCCATCTCATTTGGGCTGATCCTGTGAGTTGGGTAATTAGGGCCCTATTAAAAGGTAGACCCCTCTTTTTTTATTAATTTTTTTATATTAAACTCCCACAGTCTCTCAGTCATGCCCTTATTGCTTTTGGCCAACCATTTGCAGCAGCCTGATTAAATGAGGGCACCAGCCGAGTCGTATGGTCTTGTGTGAGCCATTTCTGCCTCTTGGGAGTGGCAGTGGGAGGGTGCCAGGCAGGGGAGCCCGCCAAGGGGCTAGCGAGGACTCGTGTGGCCGGTTGTGGGTGCATGACAAGCTGCTATGACCTGGCAGCAGGATGGACATGGACGAAAGTCACAGGGTGTTAGAGAAGTGATGGGAAGGCACCCACAGCACAGAAAGCCTCAGCACAGGGGGAGGGTTCTCAGGCCGTGTGTGTGTGTGTGTGTGTGTGTGTGTGTGTGTGTGTGTGTGTGTGGTCTCCTGGATGCTCGGGACGAGCAGACAATTGAAGAATAAAACTAAGCATTTGTCTCAAGTAATTTATATATTTTATTTGGGGGAGAAAAGGCAATTGTGTACATGAAGCAATTAGCAAACGGTACAAGACTGTGTATAATTTTAGCAAAGAGTCCAAAATCGTATATAATTTGGTGCAGAATTGCCCGGTTTGGAGTATAAGAGAGTCCTCATTATTCCGAGCAGGAGTAGTTCTGCAGAGGAAGTGGGGGGCTTGGGAGGGAGGGTACTTAGGGGTGGTTTTTGTGGCGCTTGAAGCCAAGTCTTGAGGAATAGGATATTTCAGCGTTGAGGGAAAACCCCGCTGTGCTATTTTTGTTTTTGTTTTTAGCTGAGTGCAAAGTTCCTTAATGGAAGCGGCCTGTGCTCTGCACTGAGGGCCAAGCATGGGATGCTGAAGGCAAATACTCTGATTCTTTGTCTGCAGCACTAGATGATGACTTTGGAATAATTTCCGCCTTATTAGAAACGTGAGTTATGGCAAAGGAGCCTCTCTTGAGTAGTCAGTACGGTGCCGATGACATGGACAGGTGGATGTATTGGGGTGTCTGTGTGGCATAACTCAGCCCTGTCTTGCCTGGATACAGAAACGGGGGTCAAGTAACCTTCTGGGAGTCCTTTTAGTCATAGGATTTTAGGTTGTTTGAAGTAAGCAATAAATCAGTTTCATTTACGTGTCTGCTTACTTGTTTCAACGCAACAAGTTCCTCAATATTCAGCCCCACTGTTGCTCACGTACTTTATACAGCGCTTTCGGGTTTGGGCTAAACGAGAATTTCAGCTTTTTGCGTCGACACCATGTTCTTTCTAATAGATGAGTCTCTTGCCTTCCTCACTTTCTCTAGCTTGAAGTTGTAGGGTTTGTTTGTCTGTTTGTTTTTTGTTTCTGTCCTTTCCCTGCATCCATTCACCAAAAGAATGCCAGACCACACAGAATGTATTTTTCTAAATGACAACGGTAGTTTCTACTTTACCACCTTCCCTAGGATTCAGCAGTATGCTGGGTTGTTAAAAATAAAGATGTTCTACACTGGCAGAGCCGGATGCATCTCAGGAGTTTCGTCCTCTTCATAAGGAAGTGGCCTGTACCCTCAGGTTTCTCTGCGAGGCTAAGACGGAGCCCTGTCGGGGGAGCGGGGGGGTGGGGGTGGTACATCATGTATTTGACCTCAGTCCTCCCAACATAGCTCATCCACCTTACACTGGGCACCTACAGATTTTCTCTTTGGTTTTTGAGTCAGTTAGCCAGAGGCTGGTAATCAAAAGGCTGGTGTCCTGATGAATTCGGGGAGCTCGTCTGTGAGCCTCGCCTTAAGAATCGCTGTGGCCGGTTGCTGGTCGTCTAAAGACCCCTCACACGTCTTCCTGGCACAGTCTCCCCTGTGTTCCAGGGGACTTTGGCGTCCTTGCTGGTGGGCTCACGGCAGACAGGTGGTTCTCATGTGTTGTCCCCACCAAGACATTTCTGAAGGATGACATTCACATGCCCAGCGCATTTCTGTGTGCAGTCATCACATATGGGTGTGCGTATGTATGCATGTGTAGAACACACACACACACACACACACACACACATTTGTTTTATAAAATTCAAAGCACTTGGTCGGGAAATAAAGTTCATCTTAATACTGTGATTTCATGAAAAGTGTTTTATAAGCATAGGGGCAATGAAACTAGCCATTTAGGGTTTTCAGGAAACTTATTTTTTTCCAGGAAAAATAGATAAATATGGCAAACCTAAAGTCTGAAGCATTATTATTTTTTAAAAACTTGGGATGGTTGGTTTCTGGGCTCTAGCGAGTTGGGTTTGCTGACTGACCTGGGCTGTAATTTCCACCTGTTTCCTATTCAGGGACATTTGTCTGGATGTAGGTGACTGGGGAGGACATTATAGGGATAATCCTAAATCTGCTCTATTTATTTATTTTTAAAAAGTGAATCAGCTTCAGGTTTTGGTACATGAACTGTTACTAGCACCCCATGACAGGGGTCACCCTCGGAACTGCTGCTGAGAAACGGGGGACTGAAATCAAGTGTGAACAGCTGGAGGGCCGGCTCCTGGTGTGACCCTGGTGGTGGCATGTCACGTGCCCACACCCTGGATACTGGGCCTGCGGCCTAGGCACCAGTCCGATGGGAAAACGTGTTGGTTTTCCTTGTTCTCCACTCCCCTCTCATCAACAGTGGAAACCTTTAGTGAAGCGAACGGTGCTCTTTTAACGAAACACCGTCACCCCTTGTTGGGAGGGTGCCTGAGTTTCCCGCCTGCCTGCCCTGCAGGCTGGGGGAGGAAAGCTGCTTAGAAGTAAATGCTGAAAAGCATGAACTTGAGAAAAGCCTTATTCCGTCTCTGGGTGGCTTCTCTGTAATCTCTAGGCCACTTACTGATTTTGAAATTACTGCCTCTTCCTGCCCCTTCCTATTATGGACTGAGAGGGTTTATTGAATAGACTAGGCGGTGCCCTTCAGATACTTTCCTCTTTCAGGTAAATGAAGAGGTTGTTTTTTTTTCACTTTTAAGGTATCCTTTTACAAATAATTATTAGATGAATCGAAACTCTGAGGAGTAATAATTAGAGAAATGGAATTTGAAATAGTTATTCAGCTTTGTTTATACTTCAGGCTCCTGCTTTCCTGGTAACACTTTATATTTGTTCGAGTTCCTGTAATCAGAGGCCCTGACTGTTGGATAACCAAACAGTGTCTTCGTTTTGGAGATGTGGGCGCGCAGGGACTGAGCACTTGAGTGCCTTTTTTCAGAGCCACATAGTGACTGGGGGGATGCAGCCTTCCATCTTGTCAGCAGCAGCGTCCTTTCAGAAGTGCGTCTGTTTCCTTCCTATTCTCCTGGAGATAC